GAAGATGGAAAGGGGGACAATTCTTAAGTTATGGTAGGAGCTTTCCTGCTGATCAAATTCTTGGTTATAGCTTTTGTAGAGCCTGTTCTTTGATGATAATGGGAGAAAAACTAATTTTAGCATAATTTTTCTTTTTTTCTTTGCTGTGACGGGGATTCCTGTAAATTATGAGGGGGGAGTGTTGGGAAACACAACTGTGAAACATCCTGCCACAAGGTGGAGGTCTTGTTTTGCTTGTCTTTTTTTAATACTTGTACAGCAACAACTCAACATTTCCTGCACTTCCCTGCAAATTTCATAACTTGATTGTCATTGGTACTGGCATTACATACAAATTGCATGCCCTGCAGGTAACTCTAGCAATTTAGTGCTTGTAGCTGGATAAACACTTTACCAGAAATATTTCTGCTCAAATACACTCATTCCTGTGAAAAACAGATTGGGAATTTAGGAAACAAGTGGTTTGACCTGTGCAGCAAACCTGGGAACTGCATTCTTTTTTTACAATGTTCAGTATAAAAACCAGTGTAGTCAAAACTGGTGCAAATCAGTTCATGGTGTTGACAGCAGTTTTGTGCTAAAAATTGTTTCTTGCTTTGGATTTCCTTGTCCCTGATTTACATAGATACATCACATTTGTCCAAGCAGACAGCAAAATATGGACAGTGAAATTAATATGTAAATTCTGTTCAATGGATGCTAATTATTCATTTTCTTCTATAAATTATGCAATTTTAAGTGCTGGTCTTAGTTCAATTTTTTTCCATGAAAATTTATCTTACCAGTGTATCATTTGGTACTAATTTGGGGGTTCTGGATTGAAAAAGATAGTTTTTACCTGTGAAACACTGGGTTTCATATTCATGCTGCACTGTAAACAGTATCTGTACTTCAAGTTAAAAAAAAATGCCGCTGCTTTTACAGAAATAGCCACGTGATAACTATGAAGGGTTTTTTCTCCAGGCAAAGAAATCAAGTAGTTGATGGAGAATAAAAGCTCTTAAAGCCCCTGTCCCAAAGAGGACAACTAGTAAAAACTGGTGATTTTTTTTAGAAAGGGAGTGGAGGCTGTGTGTGATGGATGTGAATGCTTATTTAGCCTTTCCTGGTGTATGATGGTTGACATCAAGGAAATGCTGGGACACTTAATTATTTATAATACTCAGCTGTAGCTCCATCACAGGATTATGGCAGAAGTTAGCTATTTTATCTCAGGTTTTGCTTGGTGTGCATTTATTGCTCAGGGCCTTTTGCTGATCTCCTGGTTTCTTTTTAGAGGGTTTGCATAAATACAGGATCTCTGTGTGATAGAAACACAGTGGGATTAACCCTGAAGAAAAGCTGCATTTGGGGCTTCAATAAAGGGAGGCACATTTCAGCTTAAGCTGATTGATTGATAGATAGAATTTTCCTACAATTAAATATTAACTCTTGGGTGTGAGTTTTCATAACTGTTCTGCACTTGTAGAAGAAAAAATATTATTATTGGCATGCAAGTCTTATTTTCTGCATAATAATAGAAGCCGTGGAATGAAACTGTGACATTGGTTCCCCTGCAAACTGCAGCATCTTGTTTTTGAAGGTTTTGTGTTTTGTTCTTGCTCCTTAGGGCATGTTGTACATAGAACATCAACATTTATTCTTAATTTTGACAAGTTTTATTGGGAAAGTATTTGGTACACTCAGAATAAATAGAATTCTCATTGGTTCTGTAACCCTTCAACACCAAAGGGAGCACAAGTGTTTTGCAGCCTTGCCACAGGTAGGTGTGGAGGAGACGCTGCCAGCAAAAGATTTAAGCAGTTTAAGGACTGAAAGATTGATTTTTGGAAAAGCTGTCTCATATGGAAATGCATGTGAAACTAAGTTTGAAATGTGGAATAACACAGTGGATTTGTGAGGTGTCATCATCAGTGCATACTGTTGGGATGAGCTCTGGTTATTATTTTTATTTGTTCATTTGGAGTGCATTCTGGAATTTATTCACTCAGTAAATGTGCAGTTAACACTAAATTGGAGTGTGGATGTGCTGGAGGGCAGGAGGGCTCTGCACAGGGCTCTGCACAGGCTGCATCCATGGCATGAGCCCAGTGGGGTGAGGGACAGCCAGGGGCAGTGCTGGCTCCTGCCCTCGGCTCACAGCAACCTCCTGCAGCTGCAGGCTGGGGGAAAAGTGGATATTAGGAAAAGTTTATTCACTGGAGGGGTGGAATTATCATCCCAAAAAACCTTTGGATGTGGCACCTGGGTCATGGTTTGTGGTCAATGGGTCAGTGGCTGGACTTGATACATCATCTTTTCCAGCCGTAAAAATGGTTTGATTCTATGAATTTCCATTATAGTTTTTAAAGATACTTTTGGATACCCGATAATTTGGCAGTAAAGAGGCAGGGCTCAGTTCTGCTTGCAAAGAAAATGCTTCTTTAATTAACCAGTTCAGTGTTAAATGAAGCGCCATCTCACAGAAAGTAACAAGTAAAGATATTTCATTATTAACAGGTTTTGTTGGTTTATTTTTTTCAAAAGAAGAGCTTCTTCAGCTCTTAGTGCATGAATCTTTCCCAGTATCTGTTCTCATACCTCTTTGTGATGGTACCCATTGCATCAAAGGCCAGTTGCATATATTGACTCTGGACCCCTTTATTATGCAGAGTTGCCACTTTGCCCTTTGTGACTTTGTATTGGTGCAAAGCTGGTTTAAATAAATGAAATGTAAATGACATTTTGAGGTCTCAGTCTGGCAGAACTGTTCAGCTGAATAACCAAATAAAATCCCCCAAACCACCAAAAACTGAAGTATCTTTAATGACTGTTTCTGTTGTGACTTCCTTCCAGCTGAACAGAAAGCTGGGGTGTTTCTAAATCCGTGTCATGTGATAGACAAGTCCTGCAGGGAAAAGACTACATAAAAAAACTAAAATTTCTTCATTTTGTATTACATTCTGAATCAGAACAGGCTGCTTTTATCATTTGCAACTTAAAATACTGACTCAAATACTGTTGAATATTGTTCCTTCTGTGTAACTTATCTGGAAAAGGAATGTAAATGACAAAGTCAGCTTCATGAGAAGAAAGCATAAAGATGCTGAGAGGGAAGTGGAGGGACATTTAAAAAAAATAAAAAGGTGGTCACTCATCCTTTCATTAATTATGTTCTTTAACTAATTTTGTTTTTTTAAGGAGAACAATGATGGTGTCATTGTACTGCCAGGAGCTTTACTGGCTGTGGCTTCTGCTGTGGTTAATTCTGCCTTTCACTTCTATTCAGACAGAAATGGGTGTTACTGCTGTTAAAGAGTATTTGCTGTAATGAACCAGTTTTTTATGGAAATTTGGGCTTGGTGTGGCATCTACAGCATCAACTTGTGGAAGAAAAATCAACTTCCATCTGGCAGGTCCTTCTGTCTGTAAATCTTTAGAGCAGAAGTGGGATTAAAAAGTAATATCATTTACCTCCCAGTTCTTGTGTTTTAGGAAAAACAAGGGAGAATACAAGTATGTTTGGTTTTTTTGTTGGGGTTTTTTTGTGGTTTTGTTTGTTTGTTTGTTTGTTTGTTTTGTTTTTGTTTTTTAATAGGTTTAATGTAGTGCTATGTGTCTGACTGGATCTTTCCTGTCACTTTTTTTCCTCAAGAAAATCCATGGGACACTACTGCTGGTGACTTCACTGTGCTGCTGCATCAAGCACAGAAAGTGAGTTAGCCATGGATGTGCTAAACTGCACCACACTTTTTCTCTCTCTCTGCTTCAATATGCCTTCTTCAGGTAAATAAAGATGTCCTTTCACAAAAAAAAAAAAAGACGAAAAAATTAAAAAAATAAACTGAAATAACACAGATGAGCTGGGCCAAGCCACTGTGCTAATGTTTCCCTGAACGTTTTGCCGCTTAAATTCCCTATCACCCTAATTTTTGGTTTCATGAGGCACAGCCAACAATAGCACTCACTAAGAATAACAATTCTCTCAAGGAATTTGAAAGCAGTAATAAAGTTCTGAAGAAAGCTTACCTAAAGTATGTGTGTAGACATTAAAACACAGCATCCTGACCCAGCTAGATTTGCTTTATTTCTTTGACCCTGGCCAGCGGATTTTTTTTAATCTGGAATTCTGCTTAAGTACATATTCAGTCTTCATTCCAAATCGTTATTTACCTTTGGGAAGAGGTATAAAAAATAAAGACAAATAAAGCACTACAGGTTTTAGGCTATCACAGAGATTGTGATGTCCTTATTTTCAGAGCCTTATAGTATAGTTTCCTCTGGAAGAGAAGCAATTATTCACAGCCAAACATTAGCAACCCCAGCCTTGCCAGACTGATGACTACAGATCTGCAGGTTCATGATTTTCCTACACATCTTGGCTTGTTGTGTGAGTACCTTTCTGTTGGAATGAGGCTGTTATTGCTTTATATCCCCATGATTCTCCTATCCCCATGACTGACAGTTACAAAGAACATCGTTGAATTGCACACTCAAAGCTAGACTGGTCCATAGACAGAATAAAGAAATTTAACAGATTTGGCTTTGTGCACTAAGCTTTCCCCCCCACCACCATCACAGAGCACACACAAAACATCAAATAACTTCTTGTCTGATGGTAAATGCCCATAATACCTTGAACTTTATGAATAACAAATTATTAGTCTTCCTGCTATATCTTCCTTCTGACTTTTCAGTTCCTGCAGTGTTTGGAAAACAAAACACATAGTGGTATTGCCATCCATGCACAATTCTAAGAAATTCAGCTGTTCAGAGGGGCTCTGTATTGATTTCTAATTCTAGCAGCATTTGGTAATGAGATTTTGTGTATGTAGTTATTTAAAATAAGTCTATCTATAGAAGTGTGTCTTCTCTGGGAGTGAAGAATTGCTGAATGAATTGGGCATAAAACCAAGTGGAAGCAGGTAAAGTCACCCAGGAATAAGGTCTGATCTTTACACTCCAGGTCCAATTTGGTCATCATAGAAAACTGTGTATTAAATGTTTTAAATTTTTTTTTTTGTCTCAGTGCTACCATGAGAGCTCAGGTTTTGCACATGCTCTGACAAATCCTACCTCTCAAGCTAGAGCTTCTGCTGCTTTAAAATAATGCTGTTCTTCATGCAAGATGAGTCCCTGCTTCCTAAAACTTATCTGGTGATCTCATTCATTATGTATGCAGAGCTTTCCCTATACAAAAGTAAGCCGTAGAGTTAAATTCAGCCTGGTGTAAATGCAGGATAAATTGGCTAAGTTTGAATTCATACCAGCAGAATGTGCACTCCACTGAAGAATGTGGTGCTTCTTCTTGGAAAAGTATGGGGTTTTTTTTCCTGAGTGCTATGTACTATAATACTTTTGATAGGAAGATTACTGCAATTTGTCTAATTTTTCTCTTGTGCATGCTAGATTCATAACAGAAGAATCTTCCTATTGGACCTTCCCTGCCAAATAGGAAATGGGTAATACAATTTTCTAATCACTTTGTAGCATTTAAATAACGTGCCGATTTGTAGAGCTCATTGCACACAAATTTTAATAATCAAAACATTGGTATAATGGACCTGCAGATAAAATCATATGAGGAAATGCCATTGCTGTGCTTTAGGAAGCAGAAATAAATATTGGTTACTCTCCAGCTGCCTAAAGAAACAGTACTGTAGGAACAAAAAATCATAAAAACAAAGCAACCTGTTTTGCATTGTTAATTACCATAGTTTAATACTCTAAATAATAAAAAAAGTTTGCATCACTCGATGATGCAACAATTAACATATTTGCAGAATCCATAGGGTCCCTGCTAACTAAACACGTTTGGCAGCTTAGCAAACACCACAAATTAACTGCAGCATCCATGAACTTGAGTTCTGACTGTGATTTATCCCTCTGCAGTCAGTCTGTAAATTCAAATTGCACATTCCTGGGTGTTGGACGCTGCCCGACCCCAACGAGTCTGAGACAAAAAAAAAAAGCATCTTCAGTGCACAGCTCCACCCCAAATCACACGATTGTCTCCTTGGAGCTCCTTTTGAGGGGCTGCAGGCCCAGCAGGGACTGCTGGGTGGAGGGGATGGGTGCAGATTTTGGGATGAGCAGCATCACCCGCTGATTGTTCCGACGCCACTCGTGGTACAGCCGGCAGTGGTACCTGAAGGACACCTGGGGACAGAAGGGACACAAGCCACCTTCAGTCACTGCCGCCCTGCAAGGAGCCAGCTGCGCCTGCAAATGCCTTCCAGTGGGACAAAAATGGGGGGAAACTGGTGAAAACAGAGACCCACCCTGCTCCAAGGTGCCACAGCAGAGGAGAAAAGCAATCTGTGTCTATTTTAACTCTCATTCTCCTTTTTCACAGCCTGAAAAATCAGACATCCTGCCAATTCCTTTCTCAAGAGCTATTGGCGCATGTGGAATGAGAATTTGGGATATCCTTATAAAATATATATAAATAAATAAATAGATATAGCTATAGATTATATATGGATATAGATAGATATACATCTTCTGGGATATACTGAGCACCCATCTTGTTTCAGGTTGCTAAATTGACAAACAGCGTAATTGTTTGCGTGTAGTGTGTTCTACCTTGTAGTACTTTTAATACTGCTAAATACATCAAAGTTGGGCTTGCACAGAGGCTGACATGTGTGTCTCAATTTAGATTGTCTCTGAAAATTTTTTGTTGCTGTTTTCAGGTTATTTCAACCTTACTGTGGAAATGTGCGACTGCTGTGGAGATGCAAGACAGCTCGGCCTCACGTTTTTAAAAAAATAGTTTACCATTTGTTTTAGTGGCAGCTAAGTGTTGTGGGAGTTGTAGCTGTGTAAGAGGATGTATATGTGCAGTTAAAAAAAAAACAAACAACAAAACAACAACAACAAAAACTAGCAACAAACTGTAAATTTTGAGATAAATGTGCCAGGTGATGATTGCTTTGTTCTTGAGGTGTGGGTAGGAGTTGACCCATGCACTGTATCCTTTCCTGACTGCAAAAAGGGTGCCTTTAAACGAACAAATGTACCTTTTAATGATGTCCTACAAGGGCTAAAAAATACTTTTTTAGTTTTTTAGTTAGATCTTTTTACAGCTCTCTGGGGGAAACCTATAAAGCTTTGGTTTACTAAGCAGTTTTGCAAAGACAGCTCTTCAGATTAATTCCCCCAACTTTCCACCTCCTCCCCCTGCAGGAAAGCAACTTGCCTCTTCTGTTCCTGTGGAGCAGTGTGTATGAAGGAATATTGGAAAACTTTTCTCAAAAGACACTGCAGGGGCAGCAGAAATCACTTGGAGTAGTGAGGAGGGTAAAAACACCCCAACATCTGCAAAGGTGGGTGCCCTGTAAAATGCAGTGACAGCTTCAGGAGAGTGAGCTGGAGCTCGGGTTGGGTTTTCAAGCAGCAGAACATGAGATTCTTTGAGTAGCAGCTGCATTGTTAAACCAGGTATGTATGTTATATAAGAGAAAGCAAAGTGTGGCCCTGAATTCTTTGTTTAAGTACCAATCCCCTTTTTGTGTGTGGATGTTTCTTTTTGGGAAGGCCCAGGTACCTTTTTTGGTGTGTGTTTAAAATACAGAGTAAAAAGCAGCAGTGTTTTATGGATAACTTCTCTGTTTTACAGGGATGGAGGGATAAAAAAGCTTCTGAAATGCTAAAAATAGCATCCCTCCTGCTTGCTGCTCACTGGGATAACTGTGATGTGTAAATAATCTGTGTGCCAGCTTTTGCCTCCAGAGAAGGAAAGCTGATTTACTGGAAGTAAAACAAAGTTTTAGTTCTCTCAATTTCCGCAGGACCTAGAGGAATATTGTATCATCTTGTGTGTAATTTACCCCGCAGCCCTGAACATATTCCCTGCACAGCCACAGCTCTGTAACAGGATTCTCCCCCTTCCAAAAGTGACAAGGCGAGTGCTGCTGAAGAATTCGATGGCATTAACACTTCTGGGTGTGGGACCATTCCTTCCTGCATTACAAGGCTATTCTGGAGCCCTCCCCAAGGCAAACCCAGGCTGGGCCTTTCCTACATCACTGAAGAGAGGGTTATTTTGCCTTTCAGCTTCAGTCATTTGGTGGTCCAGTCCCCTAAAGGCCTCCCTGTTTTGCCCTTCTCAGGTGAACACAGTGCTTCCTTACTCCATCCATCTCCCAGTGCCCTAAATAACAATTTAGAGTGGAATTACAGCTGTCCACAACTGAGTGAGCATCAAAGATACCGAATTTTGATTAAACCAACCAAGGTATGTATTTACCTCAGGCTCACATCACTACCATGCTCTCCAAGAGCCAAGGGCACATTTCTCTGTGTGCTTTTGAAGGGATAAAATTTGTAAAGTGAATAGAAGGGATTTCTTCCTCTTACTCTGCAAATGCAATACCCAGGGATAGGGACCCAAGTTGAGATGCTGCAGTCTTCATAAGCAAGGTTGGATAAGTCCATGTGTCATTGCTAATTAAATCCAACTGAAAAAATTCCTTTTACCACTTCCAACAATTTTAGTGATGGTAAATCAAGTGTGTTAGGCAAATTGTTCAGCATTTTGGTTTCTAAAGCAGCCATACACAAAGGAAATTTGGGCAATATTTGCTTGCATACCTGCCAGGCACATCTACACCCAGCACTGCAGGAGAAACAAGTGTGGCCTCCGTGCTGGAGTACACGGCCTGTCCCAGGAGAGGGCTGCTGCTCCACAGAAAAACAAACAACAAAAAGATGAACTGCACTGAGCTCATGAGGCAAAACTCTGAGCTTTCACTGCCTGCACCCTCCTGTGGGTGAGACAGGGCTCACAAACGTGCAAATGAGATGTTCCCTTCCACAGCCTTCTTGGAGATACTTGTGAGGAAGCGTGGGGGTTTTTGTGTTCCCCTCACACCCCCTTTTCCTCAGGGCTCAGCACAGGGGGTTTCTTCCTCCACCAGCACAGTTTTTTTACAAGTGCCACCTGCTCAGCAGCTGACACGGGTCCAGATGGCAGGGCCATACCCAGTGGGAGGCAGAGCTGTGTGCTGGCCCTGTGGCATGTGGCCATGGCCCACACGTGGGATGTGTTTCCTGCCCCAGCAGCACGGGCTGGCACCTCCTGAGCTCACTGCTGTCAGTGCTCCCCCTCTGCAGCCACCCTGCTCTTCCCACGGCACAAAAAGGTGTGAAATATCAGACACAGCCTTAACCTGGGCCTTTCAGCGAGCACGGCTGGATGAAGACCCATTTTGGCAGCTGTCCCCTGTGTTCCTCTCGTTTCTGCTGGGCCAGCTGCCTGTCAGTGCACTGGGGCCAGTAAATGATCTCTGTTCAACAACTTGACACAGAACAAGTGGCTCTCGGGATGGGTTGGCATGTAAGTGACTCGTGTTGGCGTGCAGGATGCAATTCCACCTGCACTGCAAAGGCAGCTCGGTTTTTTCAGACCTGGGCACATGCTTCCCCCACATCCAGTACTTTTGAATTTTAAAATTGGCAAATGTTGCCATTGGCCTAATGTCGTATTAGAATAAAATCTGAATCCTCTATGGCAGCCAGGTTGTTCACCTAGATATTTTTGTGTGTGTGTGTGTGTGTGCTGTGCCTTCACCCTTTGTACATCACATTTGATGAAATTCCCTCCTGTAGCATCTGTCCTAAACTCCTCTGTGCTACTTCCCTGCCTCCCTCCTGCTGTCCCCACTGGTGTTTGGGATTTGAGAATCCTTACCCTAAAGCAAACTGCCTCTCTGGTGTTCCAGGGGACTTGAATGGTGTGGAAACAAGAGGTTTCTTGCAGGTGCAGTTTGCATTTACCAGCACAGAAGCAACGCTCCATGCAATGCTCTAGAGCGCTCTGCACGATTAACTTTCCCGTTTGCTCTTCCCCTTTTTCCTGCGACTTGAACGAAATCCCTGACACTTACCAGGGTCCAAAAGAGGTAAATAGTGAAGAGTGCCACAGTGAGTGCAATGAGGCCGACAGCTTCCAGCCTACTGCTAAAGTGCAGGTGGTCCACGGCTCCCCGCAGGCACAGCCAGCCAGACACGGTGGCCAGCGGGGTGATGAACAAGAAGCACACCATGTCCCCAAAGAGAGTCCTCTTCTCGTGCTGAGGGCCTGGGTTCCTCAGCCACTGCAGGCAGAGCACAGACAAGGCACGTGTCAGCACAGGGAGGGTGTTTTACCCTCAGCTCAAAGCACAAACCCATCCCTTGGAGGACTGAACGTGGAGCAGGACATGGCTTTGGGTGTTCCTGGCGATGCCTCTCATGTGCCTGCAGACTTTTATTGCATAGCTGTAGAGCTCCTGGTCCTTTTCCTGCCCTCTCTCACATTTCAGAATAGTAAACCAACCCCTTTCTAACACTTTCTTGAAATTCTGTTTATTCTCATGCTGAAGAAGTGAATACCTTGTTTTTCACCAGAATTTGAGAGGCACAAACAACCCCCTGGACCAACTCCAAGGGACAGACCCCAGGGCAACTGGTCTTTTATTTGGTGGACCTGCTAGATATACTAATTAATTAACCTTGTTAAAATCCTGTATCACTCATGTACTTACCTATACTTAGGGAACCTGAAAGCTTTCATTAAAGAGATGCTTTTTACCTTACCACTCTTAATATTGTTTGCAAGGTTTTCCTTCATTTTTAGGCAACACTAGAGACCTGAATTTCTCCTCCTTGCTTCCTGCTGGTGTCCCCCTCTATCTGTACCCACCATATTTATTCAGCTGTGGTAAAGGCTGCCCTTGAGAAGTGTTTTATGTAGTGCAGCCCCTAGAATTTGCCCACTGGCTTCTTTGAAAAACTCCCTTCTCAATGTGTAAACGAGCATGCAGAAAATGTTTTAACATTCTCCATGCTATTTTATGGGGTTTTTTTCTTTACATTCTGCTCATAACATTCACAAAGCCATTTTCAACTTTTTTTCAGATACCCACATTTAAGCAGAGTTCAATGCACCCAGGTTATTTTTATTAAGAGGGTATTAATCTTGAGAAACAGTGTCTGGAAGTCAGCTGCTGAAGCAAAGGTTGGGGTTGAATAGCTATCAAGCCCACACGCCCACATTTCTATAAACAGGATTTGAGATAGCAGAGGTGAAAGAAGTTCCTACAACAGTACATTGAGGCCTTTTAATTAAAAAAAAAAAAAAAAAAGCCAAAAAAAGCCACAACCCTCATCACACAAGTCAATATTTGAACAGGAAAACTACCCAGCCCTGTAATTTTTGCCAATGTGATCTGGAGGGTTTGGTCAAACCTGCTCTACAGCATCCTTTAATGGGTTTTTGGGGCCAGCAGAACCAGAGGAGGCTCATGCATCCCTGAACACTTTGGTCCTTGTATTTCTCCAAGTGTGTTACACATGGCAGTAGAAGTTCTGTCTCATGTACAACTCAAAAATTTAGAACACAAGAAATATGTTCATAAACTTTTTTTTTTTTTGCAGGATGCAGGCTTTTAACTTGCTTGAATACTTCCGAAATGCTGAGGGAGTGCAAAGTGCTTTAAACCAGCTATGCATTACTATGAGCAAGAAGTTGTAAGGAAGATGCCAATTAAAGAGGACGGTTCAATAGTGTTTTTTTCCTCTCCTTAGCCAGGAAAAATAGTAACCAGCCATGGTCAGTTTACCCCACACAGCCATTTCCTCATCCCTCTACCCCATCAGTATGAGAGGGAGAACAGCAATAGGCTGCCAGCAGAGTTTTCTTCAGCAGACCTCATGCAAAATAAGGGGACTTGCATTCACATTTGAACATCTTTTTATTTAACTGTAGCTTTAAAGAGAATGCTAAACAGTGAGTAAAAGTCTCACACCACTTTCCTTGGAGCTTTCAATCCATTTACTTAAAAACAGCCACAAGGGTTTATGCACAACAGCTCCAGGTTGTATCTGGGTGCTTCTGAGCAGGGCTGATTGCAACCTTCCCCTTGTTCCATTTCCAGGAGTCCCTGCCATGTGAAACCACCAAGAAAACAAGAGGAACTAAAAGCACCTGATAGCAGAGATTGTGCTTTTGAAGGTTTTAAAAGTGCAAAAGATGTTTTGTGAAAAGCACTTGTTTGAAAGGTGACCTGGAAGAGAAAACTCCGGGCATTTGTTTGCTTCTCCTTGACCTCAACAGGAATTGCAGGCGTTCACCACTTTCCCAGGACAGACTTCAAAATTTTGGCGTCCATGCAGCTCAGGTAGTGCAAGAAACAATTGCTAGTTCTGGGCAAGGAGGAAAAATATCATGAATGGAGGGGAGGGAGCAGACATGTCAAGGCATGTGCTGCTGTCCCCACCCTGTGACTGTCACTAGAACACAGTGCAGTGCACCTGAATTGAGACAGTATTTTTCACTGTGTCATTGAACCTGATTGAAAGTTTGAGCAGATTAAAATGGTGTGGAGCTGCTTCACAGCTCCCTGCTCCTTATGCCCTGTGGCACACTAACAAAGAGTCAAACCCAAGCAATTCAAATATTAGATGAGGCTGTGACAGGCAAGAGTAGTATTAAATAATAAATGAAGCCATCACAATTCTACAGTCTAACCTGAGAAAGCCAGAAGGATTTCATTAGCTAGCTCTGAAGTATAAGCCAAAAGCAAAGATTAAGCAACTTCAGTGGTTGTACAGATTTCAGTCACAGCATTTATTTTTCTCCTGAAGTAGGGTACACCTGCTTCTAAATCTGCTTCTGTTTCTAGGTTCCAGTTCCAGTTATTTGTTTTGGGAATGGAATGGGCACTGTCAAGTTACTTTATAGCTAAAAAGCTAAGTCAGCAAGTCCTTTTGTGCAGCTCATAGCCACACAGGGATCCTAACAAAGCCCTGAGCTGATTAATTACTGTGGCAGTATGGTATGGACTACCCTCCTGGCCAGGAACAAGATATAAGGCCAGATGAAGCTGTCAGATCTGCACTGTGACACTTTGAAATCCGTCCTATTAAAATGTGCCAATGTGCCCAATTATTTCTGCAATAAGTTGAGATTCTCAGAGTGATAATTTCCATTTAGGGGAGCAGGGAAATAAAAATAAAAAAAAAAGAAAAAGAAAGAGGTTGTAAAAACGGTAATGTTTGAAGTAAAATGCTGGCCTGCCTGGTATTTTGTGAAGTACAATTTTAAAGTGATAAGTGTTCCCTGTACCTGATCCACAGGTCGTTGGAGCTGGACTAACAAGACATGAAATGACCTCAGCAATAGCAGCAAAAATTATTTCAAGATCTTTAAGCATAGCACCTGATGCAAAACCTCATCTTGGCTCATGGCTGAGGCAAGCCAAGAGACCCTTTGAGAATCCAGCACCTCAGAGAGATGGGGGTTAACATTTATCTCAAATAATCCACTCTCTAAATGCATCTTGAGGAAAGCCAGAAGGGAGAACTGAAGGGGGCCATTGGTGAAGTAAAAGTGCTGCCTAAGGTTGGCTTAAGAACAGGTGGATAATAGTTGTCCCCAAATAAATTAAGGATAAGAATCAGAAAAAAAATCCCCATCCTTCAGACGATCCAGCTCTGGAGCAGCCTCCCAAGAAGAGCAGCTTATAAGCTGACGCAGTTTTGAGAGGGAACTTGCTTAACATCCTGAAAGAGATTTTTTGATGTACTGCATTCGCCTTGACCAGACACTGTGAACACACCTAGGGCTGCTCCACCCCACACACAGGAAGATTTGCTGCAGTCACTTCACAAAGCAGAGTGGAAATTGAAGAAGGAAATCATTGGAGCAAGCAGCAGCCAAGGACCAGAGCACCCTGGAGAGGCTCAGACTCTGAATTTATCTATTCCAACTAAAATGAGCTGCCAGCAGAGCACTGCTGTAAAACACCTCCACAATTCTGAGCTGGCTCACCACTGCCAAAGGCCAAATCCCGGAAGTACTCATCTCTACAGGTCTAACTTCAATTAGATGACTCACAAGCATAAAAGTAAAGTGTGTGCACAGTGTTTTTCCTGATCAGATCCTAAGGCTACAATCTGTTTCTGCTGCAGAGCCCCTTCTGGTTGAGTACATTTTCCTTGGAGAAATGATTTTAAACATTATTGGAGTTACACCACGAAGCTGGGTTGGAAGGATAGGAAGGAATTATCTCCCCTAAATGCATTGTCCTTTGAGCAAAAAATAGCTCATTGCACATCCAAACTTATCTGTTCCTTTTGTCATTTTCACGCTGATGGGTCGGCAGTGAGTCCTGGTGGAAGCAGGCTGTACACAAGCTGAAGTGCTGGAAATTACTGTGTTTTCTGGTTTCATACCAGCAGCCACCAGTGGGAGAATTTTCCCTTGGGTTTTAAGCACAGAAAGGCTGATATTCCCTCTTTTTTTAAAAAGAATATTTCTCTGGAATGAAGAACATTTTTTAAGACCAAGAGGACTATTTATTGCTCCTCCTCTTCCCATTTATTGCCCATTCCCAAAAAACTGAGCCTTTTTTTTTCTTTCTGACACTATTTTTACTTTAAATATTCATTTTAACATTTTTCAGTGAAATGTCTTGAAACTTGGCTTAACTACATGCAACTCAAAAACAAAATTTCCCAGACTAGAATGGTATACGTGCTTGCTTTCTGTGTCATGAAAGACTTTGGGTGACTTCAAGCTTTCCTAGGTTAATGTTTTGCCAAGGAAAACAAACATTTGACAGTTACTTTTTGGCTGAAAAAAAATATTTCTATGCTTCATATTTTGGGTCTCCTCCTTATCAAACATTCTGTTAGTGGCACAGTGATATTGTCTTTAGTATTGTCTTTGTTTTTAGGTGCCTTTATAAAGGCCATTGTGACAGCTCAGAGAGATGTTTCTTTGGTCTCAGAGGCCTGTGTATTTGAGAGCTGGAATTGAAATTATTTGATCTATATAATGTTATTGTGCCTATATCGTGGCCTCTTTGTAAATGAGACTGTTGTTACTTAAGTTTAGCCCCTACTTTAACTCAAATTGTCGGGAATATTTTAAATGTGGATGTCTCAAAGAGCCAAGGCTTCTTTCTGAAATAGCAAATAAATTTTGCTATGTCTGCATGTTTCTGAAAGGGGAAAAATTACATTTTCCATTGTAAGGGTGGTGCATGATAAAACTTGAATTTTTGTTTTGTTTTCTAGAAAGGGTAAATCACAGCAGAGACAGCTGCCACCC